CCCCGGCGAACCACGGCTTCAGCGGCTGCGGCGAGTAGGCGTCGGCCACCGGCTGGGCCTCGTCGTGGCCGCGGAAAATGAGCTCCGAAGTCATCCGGCGATATAGAGAGAGATTTATGAAGAGTAATTTTCTCGAGAATCTGAGATTGGATGCAGAGATTTTTCTGTTAGGCGGTATATAAGGGAAGAGAGGGAATTAGTAAGGAAAAAGAATTTAGAAAATTGAAATTTCGCCGGGAACTCGCTCTCCGGCGCGTGCGCGATTGGACTAGGCTGTGTGTTTTTCTTGTGTTTAGAGCTAGATTTGCATTTAAAGAGTGAGGGCATGAGTAGTATTTTTTCTCAAAAGAAAAATACAAACGTAAATTAAAAATAATTATAATATATAAACTAAATAGACTCTTAATTTTGGAGTTTATTACGATATGCCATCACCTTAGTCCCTTTTTGTTTCATTTTTTTTAACAGTTTTTTTCTTTATTTAAAAAGTTTTGATATGTTTGTTTTGAGGGTTCGTAATGATTTTAAATTATGATTTTTTATTTTGTATATTATTTTTTTCTCATAAAAAATTTAAATTTTAAATATTAAAATCATAAATTATGATTCTGAATTTATGAACCAAACGTCTCAAGTATTTTTATTCTTTTTACAACTTAAATCACAACTCAAATTTTATTGTTATAGTATTTTTTTTTATAAAAATTTTAATTTTAATTTTTTTACTACGGTAATTTTTTTTCTCACATATACAACTCAAACTAAGAACTTGAGTTGTGAAACAAACATACTTTATAGAAGATTATTGATATCGTTGGTTTGGTTAAAGGTTTAAAATGCGGTGGTTTAAAATTTTTTAATTAGAAAACCGTAGTGTGAACTTGTAGTGCCTAAAGATGACATTTGAATATTAGTTAAAGTGTGGTTTGGAGAAGGAAAATCTAAAATTGTATTTCAATGTGTAGTTAAATTTTTTTTTTAAGAGAAGAGATGTGAATTTAAGTTAAAAACACTATACATTTTAGTTTAAAAACAGAGGGTGTTGATTCTAGAATTTGAGTTATTTTTAAGTTTAACTTGTTGGCTTTTTTATATGAGACCCTCTTAACTTTTTGCAATTAATAGATTGATTTTTTTTCTTTTAATCGGTTTTTGAGTTTTCAGTTTTAACTTTCTACAGTTAAAAGTTCTCAGAAAATGTCACATCTAACTTTTTCTACTACAGTTAAAAGCTCTAAAAAAGTATAACATCTCAACTCGAATTAAACATTTGAATATGTGAAGCGAACGAGACCTTACTGTAACAAAACTTGAATCGGTGAAATGAGCAGGGCCTTCGTTCAACTTGTCATATCAGTAGTTTGAAATAAACCTTCCGATTTCTTAACAAGAGCGGCGCAAATTTTTGAATCTGCTTTAACTAATAAGGTCTTAGTGATTGTTTAGTTTTTGTAATTAAACTCATAAGTTTTATTTTGTTACAGTGTTTTCTTCTAAAAAAACATTTAAATCAAAAAAATTTCCGTCAATTTTTCTTTCACAAAATTTATGTCAATAAATCAAAATTATTAACTTAAATATATGAAATAAACAAGTCCTTAACTTTTGAATAATTAAAATGATTTATTCTATAAAAAAGAAAAAAAATCAAATGAACTAACTGGGGGCGGTGCAAGCATTATCAATTTATCATTGACCAGCCTTTAATTTTTTTTCCATTAGGCTATTTTGACCAGGTATTTGGTTATGTACTTCTTTGGTGTCAAAATCAAATCCTTCTGGTGTAGTCTTGACGTGACAAAAATTGTACAAGCGCGATAGTGCCCATAATTGTTTTTTCCTTAATATTATATGATTTAAAGTTGTTAGACAATTATTCTAAAGAAAAGGCCATTTCATTGAAAAAAAAAAAAAAAAAAAAAAAAAAAAAAAAAAAGTTTGCTAGCCAATTTGTTTAAGGATGTAAATTACGTCCCACCTGAAAAGTAATTATTAAACCATGAGTCACACAACAGGCACACAATGAGATGAATAGTTTGATCAGATCACAATTTTTTTGCTTATAATCTTTATTTAAATAGTTTAAATCAGTGGCACTTTTGTGGTGTCGTTGAAGTCATTACCAAAAGTAACGTAAGTGTAATGACACAATGATTCCAAGATTTTCATTACTCAATTGGGTTGTAGAATATGTGGATTTTGAGTTGTGTCTATTATTATGATTTTACCTGATGAAGATTCTATTACCATTTGTTGTCCTACATACCAACCTTAATTCTGGTTTTTGCTGATTCCGATTCACACGTCCTATTTGTTATTTATTATTTTTTTTATTCACGAAAAATTTTATTTTATTTTTCCCTTCTATTTATATATTATTACAATAGTCCATTTATAATCTAATGTCCATATATATAGGACACCCTCAGATGTCATACCAAACAAAGCGCAGTTAATTATAAAATCGGGCACGTCCTATGTTCCCCTGACATTGATGTATTTCTAATCTACAAACCTGTGGGACGGATTACCATACATTTTAGTTGTTATGTAAATTTAAGGGCTACGAGTCCTACATGTAACATGTAGAGATAAAAGACATTTTTGTAAAAGGTACAACAACAAAGAATTTATTTATTGTAGATCAAAGTTACATGTGTTTAAAAAGTATTGCTACACGGTAGAAATGAGGCGTTATATGCACGTTACTTTGTAGGACTATTACACCATGGTTGAAGAAATAAAAACATACAGCCTGAATATGCACCCGAGGAATGGACGAAGCTAATACTTTCACCAAGAGATACGTCTACATCGAAGGAAATGTATATAAAAGATATAAGCTATCGAGAGAATTCCATTCATCTCGGAAGAAGCTATAAATATCCAATTGTTTGAGTTTAAATCAAATGCTATTGAAATGATCTTTACAGAAATCAAGGAATTACAACCGTGTTTACATCTGGAGGATAATGATTATCTCAAATTGCACTATTTTCCATACTAAGAGAGTTTTAGGCTTTCTTTTATTCGTAAGAGAAATAGTGAAAAATCTCGTCCAGAAAGAATTTTTACATAGATCCTCGTTAAATTTCTATATCTATTTCAACTCTTGTCAATAAAAGATTTTTACTTGTGAATTAAATCCCAAAACTAAAAATAAAATAAAAAAGAGCATATACCACAAAAGCACGATGGAGCCTATAGTAAAGGGTGATGACGAGTCTAGTGATTCCATGTTTTTCTCATACCTCTTTTGAACTTGTTGATTAAGAAAATCTTTATTATGTCTCTTTTCCCCTCTTCTCGTCTCTATTTTTTATTTTTTATTTTTTTTTTGCATGATTAAATGAAACATTGAAATATTCCCTAACATTCATTATACTGTTTGAATTTTTTTATTCTGATTTTGGACTCATCCTGTAATTAATTTTCTTGTACATTCTAACCTTTCAAATTTAGAGAAGGGCCTTTATTTTCTTTGCCTTCTCTTTCTTAGTCTTCTACAATATCAAACAAAGAAATTAACCATCTCAGACTGTACGTCCTTGAAAAGTCTTAAATGAATCTTTCGTCAATCGTCGTATTGTGTTCAATCTCGCAACAATAGAACACAAAAAAATTTAAACAACGAAAGATGATCACGTAAGAGATTCATTTTGCAGGAGAGGGGACGGGCGTTATATGCAGATATCAACTATCATGGTCAAGAATTGTAAAATACTGAAACTGTGATGATAAGTCTAAAATGTATTTATTATTCTTGCATGAAAACTACTCTCGTAATTACTATTAATTTAGCGAAAATTTCCTAGACACAAAAGTGCCCGGTAAAATACGCTGCATTATCAATTGAGCATGAGTGATAACTGATAAGTATGATTTTCAAAGCATAATAATTTGTCAGGTCTCAAACATATCTCTGTTCATAAAGACACCGATTGTAATTATAGTAAGTACTATAACCTGTCAAAATAAATAAATTAAAAAAACTGTGATACCAACTTGATTCCCCATTATTCTAATGATGAGAAAACGAAATATTTTAACAGGTTCCACACGACATAAAATCATATCACATTTGATGACATAAAAGAGTTCGTTGGCAAACTTATAGACTTACAAATTTTCAACAAGAGATTATTGAAATTACAAAAAAAATACAGTCATGAGATATAACAATTAACCACCTTCTTTTGTTGACAAATTGAACTAAATTAGTCATATTGTTACTTACAAGGAACGCCAAATATATGACTAAATTTTCAAGAAAACAAGGTGCAAAACGGATCTAATTGTTCTCTCATGTGCTATTGAAGGTGACCCAAGACTTACAGATATATAATAACCCTATATAGCCCATCGATCGCCCTAATGCTACTTGAAGTTAATTTGCTGAAAACTTGGAGTGATTTGGAAGCTGAACCTTTTGTTTTTTTGTTTTTTTGTTTTTTTGGGGTTTCCTTTCTGGCCAACCTGAAAACTCATCATAAAAAAGTTGTTCTAGCTCCTTATAATTCATTACAGAGAAGATTCTTTCTTTTAATGCTGAAATCCCTTTCACGTAACCAAACAAATAGGCACTATCTGTGGTTGAATGTTAGTGTGTGGGGCCCCCTTTTTTTTTTTTTTTTTTTTTTTTTTTGCCTTTCTTTTCTCCTTTTGCCCCCACTTTGACGTACACTATACAACTAATACTATCGAAATACTAAAGATTCTTGCATTGGATTGTTAAAACGGATCTATAGGATTAGGAGACGTGAGAGCTGAGAAAAATGAGGGTGCACATGCATTTAATTAAACCCAAAGAAATTGCCACTCCTAAGCAACTAGCTCAAATTATAATGTTATATGTATCCGTCTTCTAAACTATATTCATGCATCTTTCTAATTGTTTTGTTTTATATTTCGTGCAAAGCCAGGGAAAGGTTGCATTTAGTTGTACATATCTATTGCATTTACGTTAGATGATGATGACTTTATACCATATCAAATTATAATAGATCGGGCACTACCTTATTGTCATATATATATATATATATGTATGTATGTACCACATTCCCAAATAATATTATTACTCATGTACTGATAAAAAAACGATAGGTAGTCATAATAACTGAGCTATTTTAGCTATTCTTAATTTTCCTTTTCTTCTGTATGATGATGTGAAAAATTGATCAAACCTGATTTAGAACCGAAGAAGTAGACTAGTCTAGCTACTCAGGCATAATTGGTTTGCTAACTTATAATTTAATTTGATTTATTCTCTGTTATTTTTCTGACCCTACAAATATAGACACGACA